CGAGAACGAGAAGATTTAATATTAACTATTGAAGAAGTACGAGAACTTAAAACAAATGAATTACAACCACCAGTAGAAAATAATCAACGTAAACGACGTTTATCAATTTTACATAGTGATCCAGTACCTGTAAATGGTTTTCGTTCAACAAATGGTACACTTTATCATTATATATTACCGTCATTTTTTCGTCTTATTCAATATTTACAAGACACTAATCGAGATTTTGTTATTTATTTACGAACAATGGGTGATGATAGTAAAAATTTTCTAACAAATTCTAAACGTATTCTTTCAAATGAACATCCATCATTTCAATTTCATCAAACTCTTGATGTTAATCTTGAACCTGGTCGTATTGAACGTAAAAATGATCAATCAATTTGTCTTCAAATGAAATTTCAAGAAGATTCCGAAATGCAAATAATAACAGATGAATTTTTAATTCATGAAAAATTAGAAAGTGGTCATGGTATACATGCAATAAAAGATGATTTTAATGCATGGTTTGGAACAAATTATCATTATTCAACATCAAAACCAATATGGTTTGATCCAGATGATAGAAATCCTCGTTCACATCATATATTATTTGATGATAATTTTCGTGTTATTGATCCATATGATTCTATTGTTGATATACGTATAATGAATAGAGAAAAACACAAATGTTATTCATGTCCATTTGAACTTTATCCTAAACTGGAAAATATATTTGCTGTACAAGCAAATTTATATTTAATATTAGCTGATCACGAGTATTATATAAAAACAGTTGAAGAATGCGAAAAAAATCTTGATCAACTTCTTCAAGATGCTCAAACACTAAAAAAAATCAAAGAAGAAAGTTGTATTGATCATTTATAAAAAAAGACAATCTATAAAATTTTCCTTATTAATGCGTGTTTGTGATATAGTGTTTTTTTTTGTGGTTTTATTGTCAGATAGATTGAGCTTGTGCGTTTATTGGATGTTTTTTCCGCGTTTACTAATCACGGTTTTCTTTCCAAATGCTGGTTCAACGTTTGAATGTTGTCAATTCCGTTAATTTTATTTCGTTTGTATTCATTAATACAACAAAAATTTCAAAAAGACTAATTCGATGATTCTTATTTGTATATAAATATGCATTTAGCGATCTTTCAGAATTTTATAAACTAATTTGATGGAAAGATAACTCCTCATTTTTTTTTTGGTTTTATATATACATACATAATATTTTCTTTTCTTGTTTTTATTTTTAAATATAAGAAACAAGCATAATTGCGAAACTTTAGAATGAATTCTTTGTGGAAAAAAATTAAAACAGAATTATATGTTTTATGGAATTATCCTTTTTAATCTCTAGGAAGAAAAGATATTTCTAGCTTTAATTATATTGATTAGAATTGTAATGTAAAAATAAAAATAGCAGAAAGATATTCAAGTTTAAATTTTTAAGTAACCATTCGATAATATACAAATTTCGATGAATACAAGTACCTTTAATTAGGTTCTCGATTAAGGAAGATAAGCATCTCCTCCCCTCCATAATGTCCAACTTTCTGCCAATATTTTACAGCTTCGTTGTAATTTGGACAGAAACTAAACATTCAAACAGCATTTATCTTTCTTTGGCGAAAAATAAAATATTACATTGGCACATAAGTTCTGAGAGGTTTTTTTGAGCTGTAAGCAAGTTTGAGACTTTATATCTCGTGATTGAAAAGTGATAGAGGTCTGAAATTTTTAATGTAGATAAATCTCTATGACTTCTATCTACACTAAAAATTTCAGACCTCTATCACTTTCCAATCACGAGATATAAAGTCTCAAACTTGCTTACAGCACAAAAAAAACTCTCAGAACTTATGTGCCAATGTATTAAAAATATAAATAGACAATGTTTTTTGTGAGGTGAATCAAATTAGCGGAGGGACGGTCTGATGGCACGTCGACTATTGTGGAAGAGGTCAGATCCCAGTGGGTTTCGTTCTTCCCTTTCTTCGTCACCACTTCTAGCACTGTAAGAATAAAAGCATTTTCTGCCGAATTTTTTAACCTTTCCCATTTCTAAAAAATATCAATAATCCTACTGTTGTTATCGGCTATGAACATAACTACTAGTATAAAAAAAGTCACCAGGTGAAAAACGAAAATTGAGAAGTACGGATTTTTCTTCTATAAGAGGTTTTTCTAAAAATCATCATATTCGAAAAAGTTTTTGAGTTTGTTAGATTCATAATAGACATCCAGTAAGTATTACTGAGAATACTTGATTCATTCATTCAATATTCGTGTAACTTTATGCTTTACATGAAATTCGTTGTTTGTAAACAATTAGTAATGGTCATGTTGAAATAATCAGTAGTTAAGGCAAATGATGTATACATATGTCATCTCGTATTGAAATGAGCAAAGGAGAAGTAAAATCTATTGATAAGTTTTTTTTTTTGTTAGAATTTCTCATTTTAACAATAAAATAAAAAAGATGAGATATAAATTAGTTAGATAAAATTAGTCTACATTCGTATTTTTTCACAGCTTGGCATTGCGAAAAAATTACAACTGAAAACTTTAGATTGAAGACGATATACTCCGTTAATAATTTATATTACTCGGTAAACAGTTATTTCTGCTAAATTATTTCTCTATAATCGAACTACATTCGCTTGATTTAAAGTAAATCATAGTGTGAAAAGTCTTAGATTTATAATCAATAGCACAAATCAAGTGTGTGTAGAATCTTAGAGACAATCTATTGTATTTTGAATAATTCAATATATCACGTGAAAATTTATTTCACTTTTACTTCTTGAATAAAAGAAAGCTTTATCAGTACTAATCCAATGAAATATTCTATATGCAGCAGGCATTATATTTATATAATATGTAGAAAAATAATATAAATTCAAATCAACAACTATAGCAATATTTGATAGTAAATGAAAAATAATATTTTTTTTGTTGATGTTATATTAATTAAATTTTTTTATGATTACATCAAAGATCTATTTCATAATGAATAACAAAGTTGCCGTCAAATTTGACTTTTGATTTCAATCTATCTTCTATTGTTTCTATTTACACAGTAAAGATAATCATAATGCCATCAAGAAGATTCCATATATTTATATATCTAATGTATCACTCAAGATTTGCAAATTTAATTTTTTACAATGTAGATGATACAAAAGAAATTTTTTGAAAATTTTTTTTTTTAAAACAATATTCGAATATTCTTATTTCTCTTTTCGATTAATAAAAGTTCATGAAATAAATAAAAATTGAGTGAATAGGAAACTATTATCAAAAGGAAAAAGACTATTCTAGATGATCTTATATTAGAGAATATGTCTTCAATAATGTGTGCCATACGATTTAATACTTAAGCCTTGAACGATGTTCATGTAATCATTAAAAAAAAAAACTCATTCTTTCGCGTTGCAAACAACAGCCGGATATGGAATTATAACTTGAACGATGCGATATGAAGAAACGGATGGGTACTCGTGTTTTGACGCGATGCTACCAAAAATTGGTGACATTCATTTTTTGTATGAGTTCGGCAACGAGCTACAATATTGACGAAAAAGAATTAGCTTGTGTAACATACATTTAGCTGCATTGAATACTCGGTTTTTTTTTCTTTTTATCCTTGAGAAAAGATAAAAATAGAGAGACATAGAGAAAAAGGAAAACACCAACAGATTATTCTACTCGAACGATAAAAATGTCGTGATTGAATGAACAAGTAATACTTGTGAATGGCAACCTTATAAATTTATATGTTTATATACTACATATCTTGTAAATTGTCCGAATAGAAGACAGCTAAAACAACAAGCGGATCAAATTACTATTGATCATGCGACATATTGAAATATATTCAGAAGGGATGGTTGCACTTTTCTCCTATATTATTTGCAAAGTGCTTTGATGCTTGTAAACACATAAAAATCGTGATCATGTCATATATTTCTGTCAATCCATAATTAGTGTAAATTGTTGGAATTATATTATTATATTGTGTAAAAACTTGAAATCTGGTTTTTTTTATCTAAGAGCAAAGGAATAAAAGAAAAATTTAGTGAGAAAGAGAGTGAGAGAGAGAGAGACGAAGAAACGAAGACTAGCTTAACTCGATTGCAACAATGTCTCATCGTCTTCGCCCGATATATCAGAGACATAAGCTAAAGATGGCTGAGCGGAAAAAGACGAGCGTGTGTGCGTGCGAACAAGCAGAAAAAATAAAGAAAGAAGACCAGTAACTCTGAACAGTAATCATTGAACATCATTCTTGTGTGCATCGCCTGATAGACGTGATTGTGCGACGACAATAACGGGAACGGCGACGAAAGAAAATAGTAGTAATAGTGATCTGCTGTTTTAGATAAAAAGATTGATAGATAGATAGATCGATCGATAAATGCGCGCACCGAGACAGAATGAGAGTGCAAGAACGAGCGGTAAAGACGAATACAAAGAATCAAAAAAGAAAACAGAACAATATATATCTAAGATGGATTATCTTTTCATTGATGTCATGGATTATTGAATAGTGAGTATGTGTTGAAGGATAGATTATTGACGATTAGAAAACAAATTGACAAATGATTGTTTGAGAAAGTTTTTATCATGTTTTTTTTTTTAACTAATGTTTCTTTTTCCTTTTTCTCTGTATTCTTTATAGGCCTCATTTTTTCTTTAATAAGAAGCATAAAAAAAATACAATGCAGCTTTACAATGGCTCCTGATGTTCTATCAACGTTTACATTCGAAACTATATTTATTTTATCAAGATCGATGTACGCGTCACGTCATGCCATCATAGAAACTTTAATTCTTGATCTATTTTATTTTTATCTGTTGCCTTGTTACCATCATCTCCTATTATTGCTATTATCATTTCGATGTTTGAACAGCTTTTTCTCCTGTTACAATACGGAACCAATCGTCTTTTGATCCTTTGTTTTATCATCGTGTGGCTATCAGCTACCTTCCCACATTCTCATTTTATTATGTGTTATTTTAATCGTTTATCAGGTATATCTATACTCATATTATATATAGATATAAAGATTTCGATGTTTAAGTTGAAATTGAGTTGTGTGTTTTCGAGAATAGAATTATGAAGAGAAAAAAAAACACACACACAGAATTATGATGTTTGAACCTTTAAGTATTCATAAAGAATTTTATCGACTATGCTGCAAATCTCAAGAGACTATATTGTTTTTTCCGTGATTTTTAATTTAACTATATTGATCTAAAGAAATTTATACTAATAATCTAAATGAAATATGATAAAAACTAAAGACTCTCTATGATATTCGAATCAAAGAAACTATTGAATCGATTCGATTATCATTATTTAGTACATGAAAACAGTCACAAAAAAAAAGAAAAAGAAAGAACTAATTTATCTTCTATAAGATTGAAAATATTAAATGAAATGAAAATACATATATGTTATTCAATATTTTTAGAACTATAATTATAATATTCTAAATCATATTTAGATATTTATTTACAAAATAAAACATTTTATATTTCTAGCGATTTCACCGTCGTCAGAAGCTCAAATCGCGATTGGCGCCTTCTTTTCCTTACATAATCCTCCAGCATCACATGGTGGTGGTCGATTACGAGAATGGTAAATATGAATTATGAATTATTTGACGAAAACAAAACTAGATAATATTTAATCTTTAGTGGTGACATTCGTGAAGACTATGGTATTCATCGAGTAGAAGGCACATTTTGGATTCTTGATCAAAGTAGAAAAAATTCTCTTGTTTTTGTGTTTTGAATTGATAATCATATTTTCTTCTTTTTTTTTTTTGTATAGTCAATTTAAATCAGTCTATATTACCAAATATTACTGTAGGATATCAAATTCGTGATTCATGTTGGTATGCACCTGTTGCTCTTGAACAAACTATTGAATTTATTGGTAATTCAGTATTAAATGTTGGAGATTTAGCTACAATTTCTAATGGAAATCGAGCTCAATTAGCTGCTATTATTGGTCCTGGTGATAGTTCAATTACCATGCAAACACATAATATATTACAATTATTTGAAATGCCACAAATTGGTTATTCATCTACAGCTAAACAATTAAGTGATAAAGAAAAATATAAATATTTTACACGTGTTATTGCATCTGATACTCAACAAGCACAAGCAATTGTTGATATTATTCGACAATTTCAATGGAGTTATGTTGCTACAATTGGTACTGAAGGTAAGAATTCAAAATATACATTTTGATATATATATATATTCTTTTTTTTTTAATAAATAATTTAAATGTAAATAGGTGATTATGGTCGTGGTGGTGTAGAAGCTATTCGTCGTTTACTTAATAAAGATGCATGTATTGGTGCAGATTTAACTATGGTAAAGAATACTAATTATTATTTATGTCTCATTTTTTTTTGAATACTATAATTGGTTTTCTTTTTTTTTTTAATAGCCAATTGGTGCAAATATGACAGTTGCTATTCAATTAATCAAACAGCTTGTAATTCGAGCACCTCGTGTACAAGTACTTATATGTTTTTGTCTTGATCATTCTATTCGAGCTATTTTACAAGCAATAAATGAATTAAATTATACACAACGATTTATTATTCTTGCAAGGTAATTAAATTATCTTACATGTAAATGATTAAAATTTTAACCTTTCAATATTATGATGTTTCTAGAAGATTGGAGATGAATAGTAGTATTACTAGAGGCAAAAGAATGTGAAGATTAGAGGAAATTCAACCTTCTAAAAAAATTTCGAAATACCCAACGTATGGGATCAATCCAATGGATTCTAGTCATAAGTAGAGATGGAAGATTTTTCTAGAAAGAAAGTTTACTGAAGAATTGAATCTCTGAAGTTTTATTTGATTAGGATATTACATTGAAATAAGATTATTTTTGTACATTTCTAATTGCTTGATTGTCTAATATGACTTCATTGTATTTATAATGATTTTCTTTCTTGTTTTAGTGATGCTTGGGCAGATCGTCTTAATGTAATACCAAATAATACTGAAACTGTGGCATTAGGTGCAATTACAGTAAGGTTTATAACTATTTTCAATTTTGAAAAATAAATCTATTGTTTTAAAAGATTAAAGCACGTTCATTACGTGTACCCGGTTTTGAACAATATTTTCGTAATTTACATGTACATAATAATACACGAAATGTTTGGTTTCGTGAATATTGGCAACAAAAATTTGCTTGTACATTAAATGGTTATAATAATAATTCTAGTCGTCGATCAAATAAATATTCTCGTATATGTTCACCTGAACGTGAAAGTCTTAAGACAGTACCTTATAATGAAGATCCAAAACTTGCATTTGTTATTAATTCTATATTAGCTGTTGTACATGGTCTTGATAAAATGCATAAACAAGTTTGTAATGGAACTAATGGTTTATGTCCAGATATGGCTCGTATGAATTCATCATTATTAATGCATTTTTTAAAAAGTAGTCGATTTACGGGAATTACTGGTAAGAATCAAAATTTGAAAAATTTGAATTTACAAAAAAAAAAACCAATCGTTTTTTTTCTAATATTAGGTGAAGAAGTATTTTTTGATGAAAATGGTGATGGTCCTGGAAGGTAGAGAAGAAAATTTTTAATTTGAATACCTTTTTTTTTTTTTTAATCATCATATTATTTTTGTATTAATTAAGATATGATATATTAAATTTACAAGGTAATGCAGATGATTTCAAACATCATCTTCATTATGTTCAAGTTGGAACATGGAGTACAGGAAAATTAAATTTAAATACATCAGCAATACGATTTTTTTCTGATCAACGTCCATTAGAACAACTAAATGTTCGTCGTTTTTGTAGTGAATCTTGTCAAATTGGTCATGTTAAGGTTATTAGATTTTTTTCATTTTCATAGTTTGTCTATTTATTAATAGATATTTTTATTTTAGAAATATACAGATGAAGATAAATGTTGTTGGAAATGTCATTCATGTGGTGATGCTATTGTACTTGATGAAACGACATGTTTTACTTGTCCACCTGGATTTTGGCCTAATGATGATCATACAGGTTATTAAACATTAGTCATTATTTAGTTTAGTTTGTTATTCATAATATCCTTAATTTCTAAATCTATGTAGATGCTTAATTTTTTATGTTTATTTATTATTTTTTTTTTCGAAAATAGATTTCTGAAGTCTTTTTTTTTTTCATATGTAGCTTGTGGTCTTCTACCAATAACAACGATCAATTTTCGTCATCCATTATCAATTATAATCTGTTTCGTAGCTGCTGTTGGTATACTTATTAGTTTTTTTGTTGTTTATATATTTGTACGTTTTAATGCAACACCAGTTGTTAAATCTACAACACGAGAATTAAGTTATTTAATATTAATGGGTATTTTATTTTGTCATTTAACAGCATTTGTTGTTTTACAAAAACCATCATTTATTATATGTGTTTTAACACGTTTATTACCTGGTATATCATTTTCAATGATATATGGTTCATTAGTAACAAAAACAAATCGTATAGCACGTATATTAGCACGTAGTAAAAAGAAAATTATAACAAGACGATTAAAATTTATGAGTGCAAGACATCAACTTGCAATAGCTTGTTTTATACTTGTTACTGAAGTAACTATTGTTGGTAAGAAATTTCAATGTGAATAGATTAATTTTTTTCTTTCTTTCTATAATTATTTTTTTTTTTTTTTTATAGCTGTTACTGTTTATCGTGATCCACCAAAAGCTGTTTTAATTGAAACAGGAGGACGTTTATTACTTACATGTAAGATTATTCTTTTGTTTTTTTTGAGATTTCTTTTTTTGATTAAATAAGAGATCATTATTAGGTAAAAAATCACTTCAAGGTATTGTAGCTCCACTTGGTTTTGATGGTCTTCTTGTTTTCTTATGTACACTTTATGCTGTAAGTACTTTTAGATTAGTATATTTATTATTAGATTCTAAATTTGCTTTCTTTAGATAAAAACAAGAAATTTGCCAGAAAATTTTAATGGTAAGCGATATAAGATGCAAATTTGTAATCGGTTCGACTGGACAAATTGAAAAATATCTTATGAATATGTCATTTCTCTCTGATAAAACTTATTAAGAATAAGTTTGTTTGCTCGTATCAAAAATAACCAAAAAGTGTTGTTTATAGAACTATTAGGTTTACTTCTTTAATCGAAGTGTATTTCTTTTTTTTTCAAAAAGCACAAACAAAAAATGTGTTACTTGAAGAAACTTATATCGTATTTAGTTTGGTAAAGATCATATGTAGGTTGAAATCGTCGTATTTGAAGAGAAACGTTTGGCTTGTTTGACCAGACTGATGAAGGAACTATCCTAAGTGACATCCATCGTTTGAACTCATATTGAACTTACAATCAGATCTCTATGAGACTAGTAAAAGTCTAAAAGAGTTCATCTCTATTCACCTCCGACAACGATTTATGACCGTTTTACAGGATTTTTAACTCATTTGTAAGTATTCCTCGGAAGACCGAATAATAGAGTTTTAATACAAAAATTTGCCTATAGATATGCCTATTGACTTTTAGAATAGCCTGATATTTTCAGCCGAAACGAATGTTCTTTCGTTGAGTTATTGAATTTTCAAGTGAACTCGATTTTTGTCACAAAGGACTATTTTTAGAAATTCCATATCTTGATGAAGGAACATTCTTTTCAGCTGAAACTTTCAGGATATTCTAAGAGTAAACAGATCTATCTATAGACAAGGTTTTAGATCGAAATTCTGTCATTTGAATTTTGGAGAACTACCTACAAATGAATTAAAAATCTAGTAAATCAATCATAACTCGACGCCAAAAGTCCATGGGGACAAACCATTTTAAGCTTTTTATATTCTTACTAAGACTTACCTATATGTCCAAAATAAGCTCAAACGGTGGACATCACTTGGGGTAGCTCTCTGGTGAGTGACAGAATCCAAGATTTGAAATTTAGCAATTAATTGATGAGTAAATGAGTCTTTTTTTCTTTTATAGAAATATCATATATTCATCTCGGAGAAACCTTCTAGATATGCTATTCCTTTCTGAAGATTTGTAAAAATCTGAGTACAAAAAGAAAACTGAATGCTTTTGCAAGTCATTTCCATTAACCGATTGATAATGATTCAACAACCCATTCGAACCGAACCACTTCAAAACTTCTCGACCAGTTACAACTCTGATGGAACATCATCGATATTATTTTCTGTCTGAGAAAAAAAGGATTCATTCTTTCAAGAGATAATTTTTAGGATAGAAAACATTGACCTTTTTTTTATGAATTCCTTAGTATTTTTTTTTTCTTATTAATAGAAGCAAAATTTATTGGTTTTTCAATGTATACAACATGTGTTATATGGTTAGCATTTGCTGCCGTGTATTTTGCTATTGATGTTAAAGTTTTTTCATTATGTGTTGCAACTAATGCAAGTGCTTATGTTGTACTAATATTTCTTTTTTTCCCAAAACTTTATTTAATTATATTCAAACCAGAAAAAAATCAACGAAGGTAAAATTTTATATTAATTGAACTTTTTTTGTTTTGATTCGTAAAGAAATCCTATTGTTTTATTTTAGTGCATTTGCAACAAATAAAGATATTCGTTGTCATTTTGGTTCGTCAACAACATCAAAAAGTGACATGTCATCTTATCGTTATAGTGAAGCTTCATCATTATTTCGTAAATCAGTATTACATCGTATTCGTTTTGGTAATACATTACGATTAAAAGCTGAATTTCCTAATTCAGCTGCATCATCATTACGTACAAATGATTTTCCTGGTAGTGATCGTCGTCCATCACGTTCTCTATCAGCTTATCCAGATCAATGGACGCATCATCATCATCATCATCGTCGTTTGTCAAATACACCACAATTACCAATAGCAACAGCTAGTGCTGATGATTTATCTTATCGTACAAGTATATTAACTCAGAAAACATTAGATACTATACCAGGAACATTAGTAATAGATTTACCTCTTATTGCTCCACCGCCAACACCGACACCAATGTTATCATCATCTTCTTTAGCAACTTCAGCTATTATTACTGAGCTAGAAAATAATGACAAATCATCGATCATTCCACAACAACAACAACAGTCAGTAACACATTTACCAGATTGTATTTATGCAACAAACCAATCGAACAATGTGAATTCTATTGGATCTAATGATTGTATTCGACAACGAGGTAAAAGTCAACGTAAGAAGAATCGTATAGATTCAAATAATGATTTAACATTTTCAATGAAAACAAATGATATTGAAAGTGAATCATCAAGTGCATGGACAAATGAAGGTATAGGAATACATCCTATTCCAACATCGATAACAAATCCTGAATCTGTTTGTGCATGTCAATTATTATGGCAATTAGAAAGAGAAACCGATAGTATTGATAAATTTAAATTATTTTTTAAACGTGACCATTTAAATGTCGATTGGGATTATGTACAAGGTTCGAGTGAAGTTTAAATGAAGCAGATATTTATTGTGTGCGAACTTATTTTTGTTCCGCCATGTATTTAGAAAGCATAAAGACTTATATGTATATACATATCATACATACATTTTCTTTTTGCGTTCAAATGTATCCAATGTTTATTTCGAGTTATTCATTCATAGGAAAACATAGTTTAATTTAAGATTAAAAATCTTCTATTATCTGTGTGTATTTTAATTATAATAGAAGTCGACTATCATTCCTTAGTAAAATAGTATCTTTATTTTAAACATGATTAGATATTTCAAGAACAAACCATGTCTATACAGTCCATCTGATCTTTAGCCATACCTATTTTCATTATATAATTATTTCTTTTCATTAACTTTGTCTATAAATTCAATAATAATCTATTATTGTATACTTTCAAACTTTGAATATTTGAACATTTTGATAATTAACAGAATAAAAAAAAAAAAAAACCTATCGTTTGACGTCTTATTATTTTATATTTTTAATCGCAAAAAAAAAGTGTCGTTAAGCGTTTTTTGCGCGGATAGTTTACATAATAAACAAAAGAAATTGTGAATTACAGGCAAGTACATTGTTTAACAATTACATCTTTAATAGGATAAATTTCAATACTACCATCCATTTGTCGAAGAAGAAAATTATCGTCAGCAAATTGTGATGGTACACAAGTTGGTTGTGGAATATTGGGTTTTTTTCTTTTAATAATAGATTGAAAAAGTGCATGCATTGATGTTTGTGATTGTTGTTGTAATGTTAAATAAGAACATGAACCATCACAATATGTAAATTTATATTCTTTTGGTCGAATAATTAAATAAGCTAAACCAAGATCTTCAAATTTAATTTGAATTGTTTTCATTTTACACATTGATAATAATGAATTAGTTTGTGTTTGTTTTAATTGTTGAAGATCAAATGAAAATATTGAATTTAATTTTAATGTTTGATTTAATTTTATACGAATATTTGTCGATGATATTATCATATATGTATGTGATGTTTGACATGTTTCATTATTTATTATTGTTTCAATAATTAAACTTTGATTATTTATTTGTAATATATATTGATATATATTAATGAAATAAAAATCTCGATTAAGATCAAATTGTAAATATGTATCTATTGTAAAAAATTCTATTAATGTTTGGGAATGTTTAAATTTTATATATAATGGAATTGATAATGTTTTTGTTTCAATTGAATCAATATGATAGATAAGTTCAATAGAAGCTAAAAATTCTATTGAATGAGACCAAATAAATGTTGAATGAACTTGATTATTAATCATGAAACAATTACTTGATTGTAAAGTAAACATTGGACTATATGATGGTATATCATCGCTTAAACGTTTTCTTCTTGTATTTTTAACTATATAATTAGAAGATTAATTAAAAAGCAAAAACAAAAATCTTTTTTTTTCTTTTACTTTGTATAGATCTACTGACTATATGATGATTATAAGTCATTGAACGAACAAGAGATGTATGTGATATATTAAGTAGATCAATAAAATATTGTCTTAGAATAAAATTACGATATGAACTATTAGACATGAGTTCAAATTGATTAGAAGAAGATAACGATGATAAATAATTGAATGTTGAAATTGAAGCACAATGAGATGAATAAAACAAATAAATGATAATAATAAAACAAAGACAAGAAATTTTAAAAGAAAGCTTGAATATAAAATTTTGTAGAATATTAATTAAATTTAATAATAATTCGGTAAACATTACAATAATGCATACATCCGATAAAAACAACTGCTATGATGCTGTTGTTGATTAAATTTTGTTAAAATAATCAAATATATATTCATTATCACGAAAAAGATGATAAATGAATAACTAGGAATTTTGATTATAATCAAAATTCTTTCAAAGAATTGCTTTGACCAGATAATATGAATTGAACTAAATATAAACAAAAAAAAACGTATACAAATATACATAGACATTAAAAAAAATGATGATATCACTACTGACAACAATGAAATATAAACAAATTCAAAACGCAATGTATTGTTTATTTCTGTGAGAAACAACATGCAATATCATATAAAGAATCTTTCACGACAAAGATGTCCGATATTATTTTACTTATCGGATATTGGACTATGTACATTTCATCTATGTGCAGTTATTTAAAGAGGTTACATGGAATGAGGCATTGGTTTTTTTTCATTATTCTTTTTTTTTTCGTTTTGATGCATTCTTTCTTTACTCGGTCTTGTACAACCAACATTCTAGCTACAATAAGCATGGACTCATCTAGTGCAATTGAGTTGTTACTTAAGAATTGACCATATATCAAAACGATGAAGATATCAGCGTAGGAAAAAAAATTTACTATGATACTCTTTTGAATTTTCATTTCAACTCAATCGATCATTTCATATGTTGATCTTGTTGAACTATGGTGTGTACTCAATCAATAATGTACATTACTGTTACCGTCATTGATAATTCACATATATATCTCTTTCGACTTAAGCTAAAAACATCAATTGGTTCTATTTTGTTGAATATATTTAAAAAAAAAAAGAAAAGAAAAATGATTCTATAGAATGTATTTACCTAATAAATTTTTTCTTTGTTCTACAACCGTTTTTGAGCCAAAAGCGTGGTGTTTATCGATCAGATGAAGAAAAAAAGTGAAAGCTTTGTTTTTGATATTCAACGAATAATTCTGTTACAGAATAACATGTATAAGATAGAGAATGGTAGAAGTGTACGTGCCAAGAGAAAAGAAAAGGCAAAAAAAGAAAGAAATGAAAAATTAAGACTAGCACGAATTTGTAAGTGCAGATGATGATATTTAGTTTTATGCGTGCTGTCATTTATTATCTTTCTTTTTCTTGTACAATGGATAAGAACCCTGGTCAATGTTATTCTTTCTGTTTGTTTCAGAACACAAGAAAATGATATCAGAAAAATGCTGTTATACATTTTTTTTTCGTTTTGTTTTATGCCTTTTTTCTTTCTTCTAATACCATTCGTATAATATTATCAAGGGTATAAAAGAACAACTAAATCATCATTTATAAAATAATTGTTAACAAAAACTATATTTTAAGAGTACGTGGGTATTTAATATGATGTATAAGTCCAAACAAACAATAACAATTACGAGAAAAGTACTAAGTCATATGTTATGTAGAAAAAAAAAAAGAATATTGTACGTTCATTATTATTGTATTTTATATTTATTTTTCCAGAAGAAAAAGACTATTAAGTAGCTAGAATAAAATGTGGTGATGTTCGTTGATTAAAATTTTCATTATATTGTCTATTCAATGATGTTTTATTTGATACTGTTGATTTAAATAATCGTCGAATACTAAAAACTTGAATTATTGAACACACAATCATTGTTATTATTTGGCATAAAGCCCAATTTTGTACATAACTTGCATTAGCTTGAACTATATATAAATCATGTGTATGATGAATTCGTCCTACTGTTTGATAAGCAGTAAGACGATAAAGTGTACTTGAAATATTACGAAGTAATTGCTAATGAGGAGAAAAAGAAAAAAATGAAAAATAAAGTGAAGGACGAAAATTTAAGGCAGCATCGTTTATTCTATGAATTATTTTGTTCAAAATTATTTATTGAAACCATTCAAATAGGGATTTCTGTAATTCTCGAGATGAACTATAAAGCCAACATGTGAGTGTTTTCAATGGTTTATTGTTATGAGATTTTTCATACTAATAGTTTTACTTCAGCGGATAAAAGTTTCAAGTATATTTAACGTCTCATTAAATTTTTCACTGTTAAATAATTATTTTCAAACTCTTCTAAATATCATTCGATGAAGAATTTATTGAGCCACATTCTGATAAAAAATATTTTTTGAAAATCACTAATTTTAATATTAGTAATTCAATATAAATCTGATATATGTTACACTACCAACGACAAAAAAATGTGTGGGAGTCGTACTTTTGATAGATACTTCTATGGATAGTCAAACAAAAAAAAATACAAGTCTCTCAGAAGAGGTTTTTTCGTTTGTAGGGCATGTTGCGTTGATCATGTTGACAAAAGAAATCTTCAAATTTACTTAGTAAATAATAATCCTAGGGTCAAAATATTCGAAAAAGTCAACCACTGCTCCGCAACAGTCAGGATTAGTCGAAGTTTTCGACTATTTCGTTTCTAACATCATGATCTATTGAGTAAATTTGAATATTTTTTTGCCAAAGTGATGAACGCAACAAGCACTACAAACAAAAAACTCTTCTGAGAACCTTGTATTTGTCTATCCATGGAAGTATCCATCAAAAATACGATTCCCAAGTATTTTTTGTCGTTGATAGTGTGATACACGTTACTATACTGATTACAATCATACTAAGACGAATCATTTTAACAGAAGTTTGATACTATTTTGTTTAGTTTTTAATGCTCTTTCTATTGATGTACTTATAAACTGGAAATAAAAATAGAATTTTTGCTTATTTTAATAATTAATATTAATTATGTGTAGTTATTAAAATTAGTGATTTTCAAAAAATATTTTTTATCAAAAATGTAGCTCAATAAATTCTTCATCGAATGGTATTTAGAAGAGTTTGAAAATAATTATTTAACAGTGAAAAATTAACGAGACATTAAATGTACCTTAAACTTTTATCCACTGAAGTAACTCTATTAATATAAAGAAAAGCTTATTACAATAAGCCTTTGAAAACATTCTCATATCAGGTCTATTGTTTCTTCTGAGAACTACAGAAATTCCTATTTGAATGGTTTCAATAAATAATTTTGAACAAAATAATCCACAAAATAAAAGATGCCTTAATTTTTTGTTCCTCACTTTATAATAATATCAAATCAAATAAATTTTTATAAATTCCTAATAACATTTCATCAAATTAAAAGTACAAGTTAATTGAAATTGATATAATATTCTAAGTATCAATGTCAAATATTTAATAGAAAAAAAAATCAATCGTTTATCAATCAGAATTTTTATCGATTA